ATTTAATGAAACGAACTTCTTACAGATAAAACCGATATCAGTGACCAATATTTAGATGTACGGATCAGAAATCGTAAAATAATATAATGTAAAAATATAAAATAATTATAAGCTATGTAAACTTTTCCTGACCTGACCTCAGGTGCCGGCTAGTTGCGTTGCTAGGATACCGCCACCCGAGATTCGCGCGCGAAAATTCATTTATATGAGCACGTGCACGCAGGCTGCAAAACATAGATAGATAGATAGATAGATAGATAGATCTTCTGTAAGAATAAACACTAAATAAATAAGCACTTGACTTCGCACAGACACTTGAATGCAAATCAAGAACACAAGCAAGCAGGTAAGAAAAATGTATTTCTGTAACAGCTGAAATGCAAATATCATCAAACCTGAAAATACACATCTATATCATTGAGAACACATGGGCCAACAGGACACAAAAACTGTATAAAGGACACAGGAGCTTGTCTTAGGAATGAGAGAAATGCCTATTAACACCTCTTATGTCAGATTTAGAGATTCTGTACGAAGAGTCCAGGTATAAAAATAAGGCCTTCGAAATCTTTACAATTGTTATGGCTGGGTCACGTCGAAGCACTGAAGGTGTGGCTATAATACATCTACAACATAAGCATCTGTAAGGAAAAGTGGACAGGTGATGTGGTTGGGAATAAGCTCATTAACAGGGCTGCTTGTGCAGTGCTGTGACAAACCATCTAGTTAGCAATGACATTCACTTATAATGGCAAAGTAGTAGTATGCACACATGCAACAATACATATCAGTAGACGAACTGAACAGAATGGAGAACATTACAGAATTAATTCATATTGCTTCAGGCATTTTCCTTGACGTGGAAGCAAGCCGTGTGTCTTTCACAGAAAACTCTGCGTGTGATTTTGAGTTTAATGTGTAACCGAAAATGTAGCTTACAATATACAAATATTCAAATGAAATCAATGACGATTGGAATCTCACGCCATTCTTTATGAAATCAGCCATTAAACTACTGAAAAAAGTTATAATAAAAAAAAACATGAATGAACAAAA